GTGATTCGAGGACATATGGTGGTGTGGATGCCTCTGAGCTAATTTCATTCTACTTCCCGTTTGGTGTATTAGCCTCCACGAGCAGTATTTTACGCACCCAGCAGAGCTGGGTGTGTGATTCTTGTAGGATTTGGTGGTCCTGTGGGTTAGAGCGTCATGTGTGATTTTCGCTCATCGTGAGGCGGGCCAAAACGACATGGGTTCGAATCCTCGGCTAGTCGCAGTGTTGTTATTGATTCAGTACCACTCGTTCGTGGTTACTCAGTGTAACATCCTCAGGAAGTGGAAGGAAAGCCATTAATTGAATGTGCTTCCCAGGTGGTACTACGGGGTGACCAGCAGAGAGAAGGCTGAGGTAGTGCTCCAGCAGCCTCACAACCAGTCTGGTAGCTTCCTCGTCAGGGACTCAACCATGGCGCCCGCCGGATACTGCCTCTCTGGTGAGTGGTGCTCCCTCTCTGGTGAGTGGTGCTCCCTCTCTGGTGAGCGATGTTCCTTCTCTGGTGAGTGGTGTTCCTTCTCTGGTGAGTGGTGCTCCCTCTCTGGTGAGCGATGTTCCTTCTGGTGAGTGGTGCTCCCTCTCCGGTGAGCGATGTTCATTCTCTGGTGAGTGGTGCTCCCTCTCTGGTGAGCGATGTTCCTTCTGGTGAGTGGTGCTCCCTCTCTGGTGAGCGATGTTCATTCTCTGGTGAGTGGTGTTCCTTCTCTGGTGAGTGGTGCTCCCTCTCTGGTGAGCGATGTTCCTTCTGGTGAGTGGTGCTCCCTCTCTGGTGAGCGATGTTCCTTCTGGTGAGTGGTGCTCCCTCTCTGGTGAGCGATGTTTCCCCTTTTCGGGGAGTGGTGCTCCCTCTCTGGTGAGCGATGTTCATTCTCTGGTGAGTGGTGTTCCTTCTCTGGTGAGTGGTGCTCCCTCTCTGGTGAGCGATGTTCCTTCTGGTGAGTGGTGCTCCCTCTCTGGTGATCGATGTTCCTTCTGGTGAGTGGTGTTGCCTCTCCGGTGAGCGATGTTCCTTCTCTGGCTAGTGGTGTTCCCTCTCTGGTTAGCGAGTTTCCTTCTCTGGTGAGTGGTGCTCCCTCTCTGATGAGCAATGTTCCTTCTGGTGAGTGGTGTTCCCTCTCTGGTGAGCGATGTTCCTTCTGGTGAGTGGTGCTCCCTCTCTGGTGAGCGATGTTCCTTCTCTGGCTAGTGGTGTTCCCTCTCTGGTTAGCGATGTTCCTTCTGGTGAGTGGTGCTCCCTCTCTGGTGAGCGATGTTCCTTCTGGTGAGTGGTGCTCCCTCTCTGGTGAGCGATGTTCCTTCTGGTGAGTGGTGCTCCCTCTCTGGTGAGCGAGTTTCCTTCTCTGGTGAGTGGTGCTCCCTCTCCGGTGAGCGATGTTCATTCTCTGGTGAGTGGTGTTGCCTCTCTGGTGAGCGATGTTCCTTCTGGTGAGTGGTGCTCCCTCTCTGGTGAGCGATGTTCCTTCTGGTGAGTGGTGTTCCCTCTCTGGTGAGCGATGTTCCTTCTGGTGAGTGGTGCTCCCTCTCTGGTGAGCGATGTTCCTTCTGGTGAGTGGTGCTCTCTCTCTGGTGAGCGAGTTTCCTTCTCTGGTGAGTGGTGTTCCCTCTCCGGTGAGCGATGTTCCTTCTCTGGCGAGTGGTGTTCCCTCTCGATTTGAGAGCTGTTCCTCTCTGGTGTTTCTTCTCTCCAGTAAAAATAGAGATATTGGGTAATGATGATTATGAAGATAATTAACTGATGATCATCAGATGATCAAGAGCAAGTCCTGCATGTTGCCTGCTGCTCAATGTTGTGGGACCCACAGCCTCGGAGAAGTGGATTAAAAGGCTTCAAGGAAGAATATTTGGATTTCAGTGCATATGTACAGTGTAAATGTATACAGTGTATTATGCAAAAATATTCATTATCGAGTGGTTGTCTCCTGTGTTCCATCGACCGAGGGACCTGACTGAACTGGTCGCTCTGGATATCCGTGTCACGTGAGGTAAGAAAACGCTGGAAGTTAGTCTGCTAATTCTTTCTGGTGATGTGATGCCCTGTTTACAAGCTAACCTCCAGTCTACACCCCATGTAGCTTGTGTGTGTACTTATTTGTGGTAAAGGAGGCAGATTCTCGGCTCGTGGTTCCTCCTAATTTTATAAAACGAATTCCACAATTTGGTGTCTGGTTGACCATGACAGTATATTTCTCGAGATTGGATGTTCCCTCTTTATCCCGCCCTCCATCACTGCATCCTCTTCTTATCTTTGAATTAAATTTTTCCATGTTCCCTCAACTGTTCCTTCTATTTCTTTTTTTTTGTGATCCAGGTACACTTGCTAATATTCTGTGGTAAACACTCAAGATGGTATGTTAAGCCGCTCCTGGTCATAAAATCACTTTGACTGGACTTTCTTTCCGAAAATTTATTCTCTGTTATTCCTCTCCTGCTGAACATTCAGTGATTGTTATCTCCTCCTCCTCTCTCATCTTTCTCTTCCTGACCCACCATCAGTCTCCTTGCGTCCGTGAACAACAAACGAGGCTATTTTTTTTTTCAAAATAACTTTGACACTAGTTCACTTGTTTTTTCTTATCCTCTCCTCTTTCTCACGAGTTCTTGTGAACATTTCCAAAGTTTTTTTTTTTTTTGAATTTCAGAGTCTCCTTCAGCTTTTTTATTTCTTCAATACATTTTTTGGCTCTTCATCTACTGTTATCTTTTTCTCCTGTTTCAAGTCTTAATCTCTCTCTTTAAACATTGTCAAAATTTAATACTTCCTCTCTCAACTTCTCATTTATTTATTCTTCGAAGCAGCTGTTACCAGATGTAAATACTACCATCTCCTGCTCTTCCCTCTCTCACCTCATTGTAACTGCTCTTCTATCCAGTTATAAATTTATTTTCCTGTTGATATCACATAGTCAAGTGTTGAAGGTCTTACCGTGATGTCAGTCTTGCCAGGTGATGGAGTGACGGTCAGTTACTGACCTTGTTGAATATTCTCATAACATTGTCTGAAGCAGGTCATCTGTGTGTGTGTGTGTGTGTGTGTGTGTGTGTGTGTGTGTGTGTGTGTGTGTGTGTGTGTGTGTGTGTGTGTGTGTGTTGTGTGTGTGTATGTGTATGTGTGTGTTTTGTCCTTGTTAGTTTCTCCCCGTCCACCTTACCAATTTCTGTCAGTATTTTATTGTTATCTGCGTTGTCTGTCATCCTTGGTTCTTCTTTTCTCTCATGTCATCGATTTAGCTCCTTTACCTTCTCCTCCTACCTTCTCCATCTTAGCTCTGGGACTAGTCTTATTGCAGACCTCTGCTCTTTTTCCAACTTCTTGACATGCTTGGTCAGGTGCGAGTTTCATAATGGCAGTACATACTCCAACATAGTTCCTGATAAATAATCTTAGATATGAAAGATGAACGTTTGCTGCGGAGATAATGTGGGTGATGTCCGCCTCAGGCGATATTCTTAGTACTCGGCTCACCCAAAGGCTTGCATTATTTGTCCCCTGAGGTTGAACTCCGTTTCCGGCATTATTTATTCCAAATTTTTTTAACTGTATTTACGGGGGTTAACTCATAAATCTTGTCCTAGTCTGTTTGTAGTCTTGCCTGACCCTATCCTCACTGTATTTTCCTCCTTAGTTTTACATCATCCACTCTATGCCTTCCAATATATCATTCACGGACCTATCATCTATATCAGTCCTAGGTACAAACCTTGTCGAACATATTCTTCATACTTGCATCTTTCTGGAAATCATCGGGTTGTTGCATTTTTTAAAGTACTTCTGTCACCAAAAGGCTGCATTTTATTCCTGCCGTGCTCCTTCTCGCTTTTTAACCAAATTTCTTGAATTGTAAGACGTTTCATAAATCTTGTCCAGTCAGATTTACTTGCCTACCCTATCCTCACGTATTCTCTCCTTCATACATTCATCACTTTTCCCATAGAACTCCTGGACATAACATTGTACCATTCCTGAGACAAATTTTGGGGCCTTCTTCCAACTCCTTTTCCCTACAATCTTTTTTCTTTACTGCTAATACATGTTCCAGTAGGCATCGTATGTTATTCCCTGTTCCTGTAGTCTTTCCATTTCTTTGAAGTAAGACCACATGTTTTCAAAACATCTTCATCCAGATATATCAGCCACCATATCATCCACCTCTCTCTCTCACCCACAAAGATGCTATGCATAGCACAGGATTTCTCTCAGAAATGGGGATTACTCTTTTTCTAACAATTTTTTACTTAGCTCAATAATCGTATACACGGTATGTAGATTAATCTGGTCTGTTCAACTCTCTATATCAAGACCAATCCACATGTTTTCACAACTTATATTTCTAACATAGGAACCGACTGTGAAGATTGTGGTAACAGTTGCACAGTGATCTGCTACTTCATCCAAGTGGCAGTGTCAATATACTATCTGGTTGTTTAATTGTGTTTCTATTCCTCTGGAAATGTTCTTATATCCTCAAGGATATACCTTAAATATTTTACTTAGCTTCTCGTAGACTACCTGGTCATTTCTTATGAGCTTTTCCTCCTTTCCTTAATGTCCTCTTCATCATAATGTGGTGGTGTAGCAACTCTGGCTCAGACATCACTTCATTTTGTCTCTCATGCCCCTCTGGGTGAACCACGGACTCATTCTGTTTTTGCCATTGTTTCTGCTTTTATGTATGAATTTCCTCTGAAACCTTGTATTTTCCAGTTATATTCTCTATTATTTCAGTCATTGTCGTTCCTTTTTGATCTTTTTCCTACTGCACCTTAATCAGGAATTGCGTCATGCTTGTGTTTACTTTTTTTGAAGTCAGGTTTGCATCATTTTTCCTGTGTTGTCTCCCCAAGTTTACTTCCACACAGTATTTGAAGCTCAGCACTGTGTGGCTGCTAGAACCGAGGGGCTCCCATTCAATATTCCCTGTGCCAGAATCACTGTGCATGTACACAAGGTCCGGCCTTACTGGGTAATCCTCTCTCTCTCTCTCTCTCTCTCTCTCTCTCTTCTCTCTCTCATCTCTCTCCTACTCTCCTCTCTCTTGATTGTGTACCCTGACAAGTTGGCATATAAGGTTTTCCATCACCAACTCCAATTTCCTAAACCTCCAGGTCTTCAGTTTCCCGTGACGCTCCAGATTCTTCAGGTGTATTTCCTTGTGGTTAAAGTCTACCTTAATCCTGTTGGCTCTTCTAGCCACCTCCACTATTGTGTTTACCATTATTAATTCTTCTAATACTTTCTACTACTACTACTACTACTACTGATGCTGCCATTACAACTTTTATTACAAATTTTGTTACTACTCATACAGTTTCTTCCACTAAAACTACCACTACTTCTACTAACTGGTAATACTATTACCAGGATTACCACTCCCTTCTTCTTCTTCCTTCTTCCTGACCTTTCTGGTATTCTCTGTGACACAACAGTGATCCAAAATGGATCAAAACGTAGTCATAAGTTTCCTTTATATATCATCCTCTATGTAATGCTGTCAATAACACATTTGTAGTATATTGTGTATACGTTTGTAGTATAATGTGTACAACTTATTTGTAGTATTAACAACAACATGTATTTGGCAGTGTTGTGCAACAAAGCGGTGAAACACTACCTGATGCACCTCAACGCCAGGGGTGGAGTGTACATCTCTCAGCAGGTTATGTTCGACACCGTCAGTGAACTCATACAATACTACCAGACTCACGACGGCCTGGGTACTGTACGACTTAGCACACCTTGTGAGGTACACATTCTCCTTCTCACGTATGTAGACATATGTACAGTATGTAGATGACGTAGAATCACTTGAAATAGGTGAAGTGTTAATATGGAATATTACCATACTGAAGACAGTAATTTTATGATAAGCACTATGTTAATTTGTCATAAATAACCTCTGATAAGGTGATTGAGAAACTAAAGTACTTGTGATTTACGTACCGTTCACTGCTATGTATGTTTGGAGTGGTACTTGATAATGCACAACGAATATTGCTTTCCACTGAAAGCCGATTACTCTGTTTGGACTCTTGGTTCAACAAATAAGAAAATCCAGTTTCAAGATAAAGAATGATGCAAATGATAAAAGAAATCTGACCATTTTATGACAGATTTAGATAATATCCAATACTGCTGGCACAAAATTTCTCCATAGCTGACTGCTGGTACACATCTTGAGCCGCCAGATTGTTTCTCAGATCCAAGAATTCCATCTACAGATCCTCTGGAACACTATTAACATCTGTTGAATGGATTCCTGATGAAAGGTAACTCATTCCTTGACCTCTCCACCGAAAAGTATCGTTGGAATTCGTCCTGTAGGTTGCGTAAATGATCAAATGCTTTCTTTTTTTCCCATAGCATGGAATCCACACTTGGAAATTGAGCCAAATCATTGCGTTCGACTCTTAAGATCCACAGTTCCAATTTGTCAAGAAAAGCCTTGATGACGTCTGGGCACGAAAACAGATTTGCACCTTTTCCTTGCGGCTGTAAATTTAGTTTCTTCAATATTCCAAAATTGAAAAGATACACAAAGTTGTAGATTTGATGCGTCAACACATTTCGGAATTCCTTTTTCCCTTGAGTAAGGAGAAATGTATCCAACTCTTCTCTCTTTCAGTTGAAAAAATCTGTTGAGTACGTTCCCAGCTGACAACCACTTTAGTATAACGGCAACACATCAAAGTTGAAAACCCAGTCCTGGAACTCCGTGGGTTTTGAGATCATGTTACTGCGATTTCTTGAGTCATGATGGCGGCTTTGAATCTTTCACAATGGTGGGAGATTCATCTAAAAATTTGCACTTGTGGTCATAGTTGGGTCCCTAACTTCTTTTGAGGAGTCTGGTGCGCACATCCGATGATTTAATGTAACTTACCACCTTCCTCCAGCCCCTTGAAAATGGTGTTCAGTTCTTCCGGCAATGTTTTTGATGCCAATGCTTTCCTATGAATGAATCACGGATCCCCGGTAACTATTGAAGAGCTGTGTCACAAACGTTCGGTAGCGTGACCTTAGTCCCAGCATGCCAGGCGCACAATCACTGGTAACACCCACAAGACTGATCCAATCCAAACCACGTTCTTCGAAGAAATTGTAAACAATTTCGGACTTATTCACGGCCTTTGTGGTCGTATCGAGAATCTTACGAAAAAAAAAACTTCTCCGAAGTCTTCCTCAAAACATGAATCATGAGAACATTAATAACTGAGAGGACAAAGTGGCATTAGTTGATTCATCCAGTTAGTTGTATGACAAAGTTCTGTGATATCTCAGTTTATCCGTCTCGCTGCGGTTTTGATAGAGACAAAAATATCATTCAGCTTCCTTGCTGCTTCCTCGTCAAGAACAAGCAGCACCATCTCTTGTGGTCTGCGGTTTTATAAGGCTTCTTGGACTCTGTGATACTTTGTGTGAAAACAATGTAGGAAGCGCGCACCACACGTTAAATTTTTCACAAATCCCCTGTTGAGTCGAGATTCTGATGTTTAAAAACTTGATAACAACCACCGAAAAAAACTTCATTCTTAAATAACAAAACCACACATAAGAAAAGCTTACGACACTTTCGGTCCATTTTAAAACCTTTAAAAAGTGAAAAGAAGGTATACAACCGAAAAGAGAAAACTGTATGCTCCCCTCTTGTACAACTTGTCAACACTGCAACTAAAGGGAACTTGATTCGGGGACATTACAGCCCTTTCAGGGCTAACACAACTACTACATTTTACCCCCCCCTTTGGGGTATGACCTACTTCCACTTGGGTCCCCGCCTACCCGGGGCTACCCCTCGCTGCTACCTGCCCCAGTCCCCTACTTAGTAATAAGCCCAGCCTCTTTGCCTCAGCTCCAATTTTCACGCCCACGGTGCTTTCCCACCAACCCCCAAGCTAGGATGTTTCCCTCATCTTTTGTATATATTCTACGTTTTATATTATGCCTAGAATCTTATTGATAAAGCCCCTGGATGGCGAAACGTCTAAAATAAAGAACCCAGATGTTGCACAGGGTGTCTCTTTTCATTTACAAATCACACACCCAAATCAACCGAAGCGTCGCGTAAGCCCCTCTTCCTATGTACGTTTTTTTTGTGTATTGTACCAGTACGGATTGTGCCTTTTTGTTCTTTTCTTCAGCTTTCGTTTGCAAGTTGGGGTGACGTTTCCAAAATGGAGTTCCTTAGCTGGTTACTGATCACTTTTCCCCCAAATTTTCAACATACTTTACGAAATCGAATGCACGATTGCGCGCGACTGGGGTTTTTATGATCTTGACGGGGTTCTATCCCCCCCCTGGTATGGTTTTTCTTGCAACACACAAACCCCTTTTGGGGTTTAAACAAGTCTTTTTCTTTACAATGCGCCCAATTTTACGTATCCTTCGAAAAAAATTCACCCTTTGACTATTTTTCCTTCTTTACCATTTAAAACCCGATCAAGGGGAAGCAACGAAATTGTTTTTTTTTTCTGGCGTTTTGCTGCCCCTTGACAAAAAGTAGATTTTAAAAAATACAACTACTTGAATTCTAAATTTTAAGGGGATTTTATTTTTATTTTTAAATGCACGCAGCACCATGGAGACTGACTAACTTGGGGGGGGACGACAACATTTAAAAAAAAATCCGTAGGTTCAAGGTTATCCGGGGGCTTTTTTAAAAACCCCTCCTGTCCTAACCCTTTAAATACAAAATGGGTTGATACACATCTCGAGTTTTTCAAAAATTTCATTTAACAAAGAAATTATAATTTAACTACCTCACTCCAGTAAGACAAGAGAGGACGAGTTGTTCGTTACGAGTTGCTCCCTGTGAGGCAATGGTCGACACTCAAACCTTATTTTAGTTTTAATATTAGTTTTTAGACATTTTCCATCCAATAATTATAAAAACGCGCACGGTCAGTCAATTATGAAGTTAAATCTCCTATGATATATGACTTGTATGACATGTAGAAGGCAAAATGTTGAGGCTAAAGCAAGGATACTCTTATCTCTTGCTGTTACGGACGTAACTCATCTCAAGTACTTTGGTAATCAAGAACTAGTGAAGCAAGATTTGCGGCGGCTCTCTGAAAACGATTTACATAACTTTTGATGGCCAGTTGGCAGAATCTCGTCTCACGTTATGATCACTTTCTGACATGTTAAAATTGAAATAATGTCCGTGGATGAGAATAGAGAATAATCTGCGCTGGAGAAGACGACAATAGAGGAGATAGATTGGCTGTACAATGGAAACTAACACGACACTATTCAACAACACAGGAAGAACGACACGGCAGCCACTCAGAGAGTTACGTACGCTGAGGTTCAATGCCAGATGCAGGGTTGTCCTGCCTGCCAGCCTAGGTTATTGTACGTAAGAATGAATATAAGAATGCCACCCGGCCGATTGGACCTGCTCACGCAGTGTGATCCTAAGCAATGTTTCTGTGGACCACAAAAACCGAAAGGTCTTCACTGCCCCGGTGGCCTGGTGGCTAAAGCTCTCGCTTTACACACGGAGGGCCCGGGTTCGATTCCCGGCGGGATGGAAGCATTTCGACGTGTTTTCTTACACCTGTTGTCATGTTCACCTAGCAGCAAATAGGTGCCTAGGTGTTAGTCGACTGGTGTGGGTCGCATCCTGGGACAAGACTGAGGACCCCAATGGAAATAAGACAGACAGACCTCGATGACGCACAGACTTTCTTGGGTTATCCTGGGTGCCTAACCCTCCGCGATTAAAAATCCGAAGAAAATCTTATCTATCTTATCTCTTAACCGCTAGTGATTCATGGATTACCAATTGAGAACCACTTATACACATATTAAATCTTTCAGTATTGTTGTGTCTCAACAGAGTGAGCCTGTGACCCTCATTGGTGGCGAAGGTCAGTGGGAGATCACTCGCTCGTGTTTAGTGCCGACAGGAGAGGTGCTGGGGGAGGGTCAATTTGGACAAGTCTACAAGGCACTATGGAACAAGGCCACCCCTGTCGCTGTTAAAGAGATGAAGCATGGTAAGTGGTGGGTGCTTGCAAGTGGGATGGGTGCTTATAAGTGAGTGGTTGCAAGTTAGGGATGGCTGAAAGTGGATGGTGAATGTAAAGGCCTGGTGGATGTAAATAGTGTATGTATGTATAATGTTCGCCAAGACCATAGTCCTGGCACGGGTCCCAATCTTGCGATGACCCGTCTCTGGCTCCCGATGGAGAAAGGTTTCCACAATGATGCGACGCATGCCGCTCAAGCGCCCCTCTGGTCAGTTCAACTGGTGCATCTCATAAGCGACACCATATGTAACTATGGACACTAGCGAGGAGGAGGATATGTCATTATTACAGGTAACAGCTTGTCTGGTTCCTTGACCCCATGATACACTAGTGTGGCCGCGTCATCTCTGGGTCCACTTCGGGAGGGAATATCAACCTATTGCCTGCGGAGTGTCTCAGAGCTTCGCACTCTAGAAGTAGTGTGTTAGGGCGCTGGACAAGTGCTGGACAGTACTGGACATCTCCTCCCAGCCTTGTCTACAGTCCACTGTGCTCTTGCTGTGGGGAAAGCCAAACGGAAGCAGATGGATGGCGGTACACTGCGCTCGACCAGCTTCTATCATGTGTGAGGGGGTTCTCCCTGAGTCGCTGCTCAGGTACCAACTGTTGAGATGGGGTATTACCCTAAAGACCTCCCCCATAAGTTTCGTGGCGCTTGCCAGCACAACAGTTTGGTTGTCGTAGGTGATTGGGACAGTAATCCCAACTTGTGTAATAGTCCTGTTGGCTGCCTTGCTGCATCATTCTGCCGCCTTCATTTCCCGATGCCAGCATGGCTGGGGATCCAGTACAATGTCGATCTGTTACCATGAACTTCTAAGGCTGTCATTATGCTCCAGGATAGATGTGGAGAGTGACATTAACCTGTGGTTGAGGATGAGAGGCATGATTGCAGAGAGTGGAATCAAATTGTATGGACAGGTCGTAGTCGATGTCTTGGCATGTGACAAAGCCTGCTGAATCGCTACACTCTCGCTTGAAGGATCGTTTAGCAGTGTCAGGGAGTCGCCAGCCTTTGTGTGTGACTATTTGGTACAGTTTCCACTGTCTGCTCTTCCTGTCAGGGTCGACAGAACCATCTGTGAATACACTGCACATGTGGTCCTCTCTCTGCCGTGCCATGCTTGTCTCTAGCAAGATTGCTGAGTGTCTTGTGCCAGAGACACTTAGAGTGGTACTGCATGATGAAAACATCGGCTGGATCTGGGCGCCAGGGAGGTGGTGATGGTACCCAGCAACAGGAAGGTCACAACTCTCTCACAGAGCACTGTACCAGGCAGCAGCTTCCGCCTCCAGCAGATCAAAACGAACGAATCCAGAGTAGTCGTGATGAGAGTGTGGATTTTTGTGCTATGCATGGTTGTAATATCCCGTTCTCCTTATTGGGGTACCTTGCTGCGTGCAGTCGTGGTCCACTTTGCAGGGCGGTTATGTATCTTATCTGTCAGCCAAGGAAGGAAGCGGCGACTCAGATCTGAGACAGTTTACTGTTTGGTCCAGATTGGGGCACCAGCATAGTCTTATCCTGGTTTTGTACGACCTCACCTTTGCCTGCCGGTTTTGCAACCGTAGTCATTATAGAGCACGTATAGTTGTATATAGTACAGCAAGTACATCTTTTGCCCCTGCACGGTCCCTTTCGTGCCATGGTCTCTAATGCGATGATCTGAGTAGAGCACTGACCTGACATACTCGGTGTTTTAAAGGTCAGCTTTTTATCAATGTAGATTCCAAGTACATTAGAGCCTATGTACACTCAAGTTCTTATCCTGAATACGTAACTATTCTAGGATCTGTCCCTTGGACACTCATTGCCAAGGATTTCTCAGCCGAATTTGAGGCCTAGGTCCTTGCAAGATGCGTAATTAGTCCAAAGTCTCTAAGGCCTGTCGTTCTTAAATCCCTTTTCCCATTCACTACTATGTGCAAGATCATCACTAGCTGAGGAGCTGGTGTACCACATGAAAGGGAAGCTCACAAGTTCCTGCATAAGGAGTTACACACGGTAGGACTGACACACCTTGTGCGTACACGTTTTCAGGGTTTAAAGAAGAGTAGTGTCCTATGAAGCTGACACGGCTGTCTGCCCCTAAGGTAGGACTCTATCCAGGCCATGGAGTGCGTCCTTTGATTCCCTTCCGAGCTAGTATTTGCCAGAATAGCTGTGGTGGCTGTTAGCTCAAATGCCTCTCAGGTCGAGGTAAACGACGATACTAGGTTTTTTGTTGCTAACAGCATACTGGCTTAGTAGAGTGGTATGCACTACTGCTGTTCCCACTCCTTTGGTGAAGCCAAATATGTGATGATGAGAGGTCCCAGTTTCATAGGAGGCGGTTAACACCATCCTCTCAGCAGTCTTGGCTAAGCAGCTGTCAGACGATATGGGTCTCATACTGCCTGGGTCCTTGGGCTTTGAATTGGTACGATTGTAGCTTTCTTCCAAGCTGCTGGGAGTGTCCTGGCCCTCCACGATTGTTAATGACGTCTAGTATGGCTCCCATCCACTCTGCCCAGCCCGTGCAATCATGGAGTACGTCACACCATCGATGCCCGGGGCAGTGTCACCTGTGTTCTTAATGGCACGTCGGAGTTCCAAGTCCGTGAGGTCTACATGAGTCACATCTTCCGACTCACATGTAGCTTGTATCGTTAGCTGGCGCTGTGCAGAAGATCCGTCTGTATATTCCGGATGTCCTCTGGGAGCTGAGTGAGGCTCCCTGGAAGTGAAAAGCTCCACTAGTTTCTCTGCTTCCTGGGATGGGTTCGGGTGTGCTGGTGGCCTCGGCTTGCTCTTACCAGTTGCTATGTTGAGCTTGCCCCATATCTCAGATAAGGTGGTGTGATGCCCGAATGTTGAGCACCACTCCAGCCATTTCTCAGTTTTTACTCTGAGAGAGATTTGCGGGCATGCTGCACAATGGCTCTCAGGTATTCCTTTTCTCTGCCGTAGGGTTACGTCCTGTATAGCTTCCTAAAGAGTTGATGCGGTGGTTCTGCTCCCGCACCTCGTCGTTGTAGAACCACCAGTCTCTTTTGTGAGTGCGTCCTGCGGACTTCTTTGGAATTGCGCACTCTGCTGCCTGGATGAGAACAGTGATTAGCTCCTGTTCAGCCGTAATCACAGTCTTCAGATAGAGAGTATGTGGACCACCAGTTATGAAGATAATCCTGGAACACCTTCCAGTTGGCCCTCTTTACGTCCCATCTAGGAGGCAGCACAACTGTGGGAGGCCTGTGATGTTGAAGGTGGTGATCACTGCAAAGTTGACACTGACAATGTGAGGATGAGTTTCCCATGTGGCTCCTGCTGCGAGTTGTCTTGACCCGATGTAGGTGAGGCAGTCACCCAACAGATGTGTGGGGTCTCCCATTGTTCAGCAACTTTACCTCTGGAATTCGTGTAGGAGGCATTGCTATGATGTTGCCAGCAGCATGATTGCTGAGAGTGCAGAATGGGTGATGGTTTGAAATCTCCACCCACATATACACGTCATGCGTGCTAGTGCGAGGAGCTCGTCATGTCGAGGTGTGTCTTGGGTTCTTGTAGAGTTATAGATGGGTATGGGCGCCCCGGTATGTCACAAGGATGGCCTGACACTCGCATCCTCCCCAAGTCCAAGGGTGGCTAACTCGGAGGTATCTATTGGATACAAATACAGCTGTGCCTCTGCAGAATGCCGGTCCAGTGCCGAAAATACCACAAACGGGAGTCTGGCACAAGTCGACAGTCAGAGTTTCTGTAGCAAGCGAGTCAACCCGATCCGAATTACTGCCTCCAGCAAGAGGTGCTGTTTGCCCCTCAGGCCCTGAATGTTCCATTGTAGGACCTTGAGGGTGTGATTTGGTACAGAGGTTATTCCATCGCTGTGTTTCCTGAGCTGGAGACTGAGTCCTGCCCGCTCTGAGAACTGCAAATTCATGGCATCCACTGTCTCCTCTTCGGTCAGAAAGCACACTCTCAGGAGAGTACTGACCATCTGCCGGAATGCGCTCTGTTGTTCCGTGGAGTTGATTGTTTGCAAATAGATCCGTGAACACCTTGATGAGTGCTACGAAATCCTCCCTGGTGAGGGCCTGCTTTGGTGATGGGTTCGAAACAGTGGATATTATCTGGCTGCTGTGGTCTGTAGGGACTGCTGAGGGTTGGATTTCTTTATTGTATGCACCGTGGTCTGTTGCTGTATACCAGGTTGAGTAGCCGGGATCTGCTGGTGAGGTGCCAGTTGAGTCTGCAAAGCGCCTGTGCCGGGTAAGAGTGCCTGCGTTGTCGTGCTATGGCCGGTGGGGCTCGTTTAGTGCAGCCTGCTGATCGCATTGACCCGATGCACCCTGTTGACGCCTCCTGTTCCTCTTGTTTCTGTTTTCTTCGTTGAGGTAGGGGTGCAGGAGGTTCTGACTTGACGCCTGGTTGAGGCTATCTAGGGTTGGGAATTCCTGGGCTATTGACTTGTTTAGCTGCTGAGAGATCTGCGGTAGGCAGGGTTCTCTGCACCCACGTATGAAGATCCGTCGTAGCTGTGCGAGTTTTTGCGTCTTCCAGATTTTGATTCTGGCGAGCCTCTCGGGCATCGAGGATCCAGCATGGTGTTCTTCTGCCTGCAGTTTCGGTCATTGTGGAGTGGGTGGCGATGCATTTTTTCAGCTTGGTGATGCATTCCTCGGTAGGGTGTGCTGCTGCAGACACCGCAGATTACTCTGTTCGGACAGAGTGCATCCCAGGGTGTCCATAACGCTACACTTGAAACAGCGAACTGGTTTGCTGTGAAGTCCTGATCATCGTACCTCCCAAGAACGAGGTCCAGCTGGGGTGATGGGCAGTGGGTCCTACATGCTTAATGTGAGACCTGGTAGGGTTGCGTGCGTGCCTGCCGTCTTAGCTTGGAGATGAGCTCGACACCACAACTGGGGTGAGCCTGCTACTGCCTCGATGGGCCATCATAGCGGGTATCGCATCCATACACCCTTGG